TGCTAATCGGAAAGTCCTGTCGGGCTGACGATAGGCTGGCCGGTTGCGCGCTGGATCGCCACGACGGACTGTGGGATCTGGGCGAACTGTGTCGAGTCTACGAAAGCGGGGTGACGATCGCAGTGGTGGGAGTTAGCACGCGACGATCGGGATCGTCGGTGCGGGTATGAGGATCGATGATTGAAGTTGAGTGAGTTATTGGCCCGGGGCCATATTGGAATTAACGGCGAATGCGCCTTTGTTGTTGCGGATCTTTCTCTCTGAACTTCCTTCTTTTGGGTTGCGTCATCTCCTATCTAGACTCTCTTCCCCCCCCCCCCTCACCTTCCCCTTTCTCCTCTATCTTTGAATGATAATGTGTCTCGATGCTTCTCTCTCTCTTTCTCTCTCTTTTTTTTTCCCTCTTCTGGATGAGCATGAATCTGTATGCTTTCCTTGCGTGAAAGAACTTCTTCCGAAACTCTTCCATTAGTTTCCTGGGTAATCCTCCCGCGCAAGGACCCCGTTTTCTTGTCTTGTGAACGGTGGATGCGTGTGTACTGTGCAAGCAATCCATCTTTTTCTGTGCATGGCTCATTTTCGCATCTTCCACAGTGAATGGATGTATGGGAATGCGCGTCTCTTTGACATTGATTAGACGATTGTCGTCGGGATTTTGTCCGAGAATGCAAGAGTGTTTAGATCTGTAGCTTTGAGTGCACTGCGCATGCCATCTGCCTTATGCTGTCCGACATCCGCAGCCCAACCACGAGGCGGCCTCGAGAAACAAGGCGCTCGGGGATCAACGGCGCGCTGGCTCATTAAACCTGAGCCGCGGATCGGTCCCTTAGTTATATGCATGATCAAGCTGCTGACGTGTCTTCTTTCTCTTTCTCTCTCTCCCTCTCGGGTTGAAGGGAATTGTCTATGAGTTGCGCAAGTGTTTTCTTTTCTTGATGACGTCGCAAGGTCTTTCCAATTGATTGATATGTGGACCAACCAGTACCCTCCGATTGGGCACCAACCTCCTGTATCTCCCGCCCCAACACGACCTTTTCCTTACAACGAGGAAAGGACACGTATATGCGAGTGGGACGTGCGAGAAGCTGTCGCACAGATCGACGGATGATATTACTTCCCTCCAGCAAATCGTCGTTCAGGGTTCGTAGAGGCTGGGTTTGTCATTATCGACACGCACTTCCCACCTTACTCGATATTGTTGCCATTCAACGAGTTGATCGTCATCCCGTGGACGGCAGTAGAACCCCACTGGCCACGCACTCTATGCACCGAATGCCAGCGTTTTGAACGCTACGAATCTAGGGGTTTCCACTACCGTGTGCGGAGTGAAGACGAGCATAAAGAAAGAACCACGCGACTGAGACCATCCACGTCGGACTCAGAATTGACCATCGAATGACGACGAGATTTGATACGAAAATGAGACACGCGGAGCGTGCCAAAGCCTTTCTGTTCTAAACGACGGGCTGTGGCTCGGTGGGAAGTCCAAAAATACTTTTTGAATTGAATTTGGATTTGTCTCTTGTCACGCCGTGCCCGCGCGCGCATTCCGCGACGCGCGAAAGCAATCGATTTCAGTTCCATCTGTATCCCCACACTCAATTTTCAAAAATCCTTGGCACACCCCATTTTGCTGTTTTTCTGGGCCTCTTTCGGCGCGCCTAACACTCCGAATGAAAGACAGCACAGGGCGTGAGGTTAGCGCGTCACACGCTCCTTTTCTCTGCCAGATATATAATAAGTCCCTAGAGACAGGCCTCCTCACTGGTGGGTTTATCAAAGGGGTGATCTCCCTCCTCTATAAGAAGGGGGATAAGAGGGAGGTACGAAACGACCGCCCGATTTCGGTTCTTAATGGAACTTACAAAATTATGGCAAAGGCTCTAGCCATCCGCTTAGCTGAGCAACTGACTTACTTGGTTGGGTGCGAGCAAGGTGCCTTTGTTAAAGGCTGTTCGTTTTTTTAGAATATTTTGACGACAGTCCAGGCCCTGGAAGTAATAAGTACGGAAGAGAGGAACATGGTTGTGCTGCTCCTGGATATGGAAAAGGTCTTTGACAAGGTGGGTTGGGCTTTCATCTCCACCACCATGTCTAAAATGGGGTTTGGCCAATGGTTCATAAACTGGACCAGGGCCATGTATGCATATGCCTCATAAACTTGACGGACTGTTCCAGCACTCAAGATCGTCTCTTGGCGGACAAGGTTACCTATGTGACGTGCCAGCTTCCGGACCTGCACCATCTCCCTCCCCCCCCCTTCTTTTCTTCACATTTTTGTTATCCTGTGCAAACAGGCCGAAGACGCCCCTTGTTGTGTTTCCATGGATCAATGCGCATTGAGCGGAAAGGCCCGTCTCTCTCTAGACCTTCGTCATTTTGGGGCGCTTTTTGGAATTCCATCTTTTTTTTGCAATTCGGGAAATATATGGGAAATACGCGTGCATGAGCGAGTGCGCTAGGAATTTGGGTCGACGGTTAGGAATTCCGGAATGAGCGGGACCTGACATGTCCTTTCTTGTGCGGGAATGTTCTTGACTTCGTCTTGGAAAACTCTGAGAATTTTCGTACGAATCTGAATAGTCATGTGACGAACTAAGGGAAAAGGAGGGATGGGTGGCCGAGGTAAAATGGTCTGGGAGCAATCAGTCTGAGAAGGAACCACAGGAGGAACCCGGGATATAGATGGAAAGGGACTACCGGCTGATCTTCCATGATTGGATCAAAGTAGACCTTGGTGAATCATTAAGGGCAGCTCAGGACTTCGCAGACCCCTTCCCCCCCCACCCACTCTCCTTAACAGAAACCCTGCCGCCTGCATAAGCCAAGGGATCTAGCATGTACCAGTTTTGTTCTTAGCCCTCTTACTGACATTTCTTTGGCCACTGTCTGCTCATTTGTGCCTTCGTTCTTTCTTTCTTTCCCCCCCCTGTTTCTCTCATCTCTTTCATCTCTTTCATCTTTTTCTTTCCTCACTTTCCTCTCTTTCTCTTTATTTCATATTTTTCTCAATAGTCTTCTCAATAGTCTTCAACAGTCTTGCCCAGTCTGAATACGCTGGTGGATTGGACCTGGTTTCAAGAATTGTTATTCTCAGAGAAGTTTTTTTGCAGTATCATTTTAGTAATTCTCAGAAATTTTCAGTATTCCTCGGTGTTTCTTCAGTATTTCTCAAAAAAAATTTCAGCTGATTTCACTGCAGCTCATTTCAGCCTGCTTTCTGTTGATTC